GGAGAAGTAGTTTCTATTGTAGGATAACTCAGTACTGAACTACTGACTCCATCCATTTTTGGAAATTGTATGGAATAGCAATGTTTGGTAAGGGGGGACCATGACTGGGGATGAAAATGGTAGAAGGTCTCATAGTGCTGTGGTTTTAGTTTTATAATCACCTAATGCCTTTCCTCTTTTCAAATTAGTTGGGAACTTTGGGAGATCCTAGACTAAATTGTGAAACAAGCTCAGATTGGCTGGTTAGTAAAAACAAAAAAATCAATCACAAGTCAGGTATGATGGTGCACTTCTGTAATCCCAGTACTCAGGAGGATTGAGAGTTTGAGGCCAGCTTGGACTACACAGCAAGATCCTGTCTCAAAGGAAAAAGAAATCAATCACAGTTTTCACCAGAGAATGGAGATAGTTCTGTCTGATTTTCAGGTTGGTTGATTACTCAAGTATCCTCTTTCATAAAAGTGTTCTTCCTCATTTTCTGACCAGTTTGCAATTGTGCAAAAATAAAATAGTGGTCTTCTTTCATGACAGCAGAGAAGAGGTTGTTCTGTGGCATGTTACACACTTTTTAAGATAACATGTTTATGAACATGTATATTTGATCTACTAGAAAATGTTTAGATTTTAAGTGTTAAAAGCATTCTCAGTGCACAGTGCAAAATTTTCATATAATTTTGCAATATAATATATTTAATTAATATATAATTTAAATTTTGCAATATAATTTTGTGTTTTCCATATAAAACACAAATTTCAATGTTTATGCTCACAAAATAAGATTTTATGGCATGACAGAAGTATATCAAAATGAGTACCATAAAGTTATATTGTGAATTGGGTGGAGAGAAAGCAGCCACCATTTATAAGACCAAACCCACATATATCCATGAGAGAGCAATTAAGAGCCAAGGAGAGCTGGTTTTGAAAATGTGTTTAAAACAAGATGAAAGATCTTTGAACCTTTGAAAATCCTCCAGAAACTGAATGAAAGCAACAGCTACCTCTCTTTTATCAGAGCTCTGACTCATAGAACTGCTCTTGAAAGGACCTCACTTACTTGAAATAAAACTTGCTTTTTTTTTTAAGAAGACACTTAACTATTGGTAAGCTTTGGTAGCTTAAACTATTATATTTCTTTTAAGAATTTCAGAATCAGTTCCATATATGTACAACCTAAGTACAGAAGTGGCTGATTTTAGAAGTAAAGAATAAATTAAAAATTTTTTTTCAGTGCTGGGATTTGAACTCAGGGCCTTGTACTTGCTAGGTATGTGCTCTATCACTTACCTACCAGATACCAAAATGTATTTATTTATGATTCATCATGTTGAAGCCCTTAATATGAAGAAACTCTGCCTTAAAAAAGGACAACTTAAGTTGGGTGCTGGTGACTTATGCCTGTAATCCTAGTTAGTTGGGAGGCTGAGCTGGGGAGGATCACAGTTTTAGGTCAGCCCTGGCAAAAGTTTGGGAGACCCCATCTATAAGGAAAAAAGCTGGGTGTGGTGGCACTTGCCTGTTATCCCAGTGTTGGAGGAAAGTATAAAATAGGAGAATCATGGTCCAGGCCTGCCGACCATAAAAGCAAGACCCAATTTGAAAAATAATAAAAGCAAAAAGTGTTGGAGGCATGGTTCAAGCACTAGGGTGCCTGCCTAGTGTGAACCTGTGTTTAAACCCCAGTACCACCAAGGGGAAAAAAGGGGCAAGTTAGGTGGTCACAATTCTTTTTGAGAAATGGAAACCTGGGGTTCAGTTAAGTATTAGTCAAAGGCCTCTCCTTAAGGGAATCTGTCTTGTAGTAGACAAGTTTAAAGCATGTAGCTGCTAATCCTGGGCCTGCTTAAGTGCTGTGTCAAGGAGAGTAGGTTGACTTCAGCCTATGGGTCAGAGTAACACCCCTCACTACCATTTGATGGCTGAGGGGGGGAGGGCACTGTGCTAACCTGTATAGTTTCCTCCAACCCCCCCGGGTGTGTAATGGACACTGATTCCTCACATTCCAGAAAGCTCTGGGCACTCTGTCTCTGTTGTCAGTTATTGGGTACTCTGACGGTGCAGCAGGAACTTGGGCAACTTGGTAGCACAAGCTTAGCCAAGGGATGTCAAAATGAGGCTGCAAAGCCACACTTCCTTGCTCTAAGCCTGCTCTAGGATTCCTCCTCCCACCCCAATTAACTCACATTTCTCTGTTAGAAGTTTTTCTAATGAGGGTTGGGGATTTAGCTCAGTGGAAGAGCGCTTGCCTGGCAAGTGTAAGGCCCTGAGTTCGGTCCCCAGCACCGAAAAAAAAAAAAAAAAAGGAGAAAAAATAGAAGTTTTTCTAATGAGATACAGTGCCTTCCTTGTGCTGGGCATTTTGTAATTAGCTATGCATTGCTTGACTACTGGTTGGTCTGCCTCCCTACTAGACAGTAAGCTCTGTGAAGGTAAAATGTTGTTTGGTTCCTGTTTGCTAAATTCAGTGACTGGTGCTGCATGTATCCAATAAATATTATTGAGTATGGGAAAATAATGTTTGTCGTTCTACTGATACCCCTGACATACACTGAGACAGGTGTGAAATTGCTGTGGGAGGCAAACTGGCAGTTCAGAAAGTTCTAGAAGCTGGTGAAGTGCTATGGCTGTCACAGAGATAGACAGATGAGCTAGTCTGGGGGAAAAAATTTCTTACTAAAAAGACAGACATCTTTCACAAGTAAGCAAACTGAATTTGCTGCCTGACTTTATGTGTGAATATTATGGTTCTGTGTCTTATATTCCTCTCCCTCACTTCCATTTTCACATTCTCAGTCAGTATGAAGTCATATGAAGGGGTTCACGGATAGACACAGTATTTAAGAGAAGCTGTGACCATAGGTTCTAAGAGAATGACTTATGGAGGATCCAAAATCTATATTAGGACTGCGCGTGCTCATTACGATTGACATGCCCCAGTGATCTAACAACCTCTCACTCACTTAGCTCCATCTCCTAAAGGTTCCATCACCTCCCAATAGCGCCACAGGCTGACAACCCAGCTTTTAGCACATGGTGCTTTGGGGGACATTTAGGATCCAAATGATAACAGATCTTTACTTAATTTTTGGTGGTCTTGGGGTTTGGGGTTTGAACTCAGGGACTTGTGCTAGCTAGGCAGGGACTCTATTACTTGAGCTATACCCTCAGCCCCTAATTTTATACTATTTTAAATACACTTTTAGCTGGTAGAGTGGCTCAAGTGGTAGAGTGCCTGCCTAGCAAGCATGAGACCCTGAGTTCAAACCCCAGTGCTGCCAAAAAAAACACCAAAAACAAAAAACGTTTTTATTAACATGTATTGGTTGTATGGGAAGGGTTTATTGCTAATTTTAATTTTTTAAAGAGGTGCTCTTCCCTTAACAACCACAGGACACATTTTATTGAAAACATTGGAAAAACTTCTTTATCCTCTGAAGGTGTACCAAACATTATTAAAGAGCATAAAATGTGTGATTTTATGAAGTCTTTTTACACTATTAACTCTTCAAGGAGGTAACAATGAGAAACAGTGACAGCATGTTTTGTGCCTTCTGTACATCTGAGCCTCTCTCCCTATGGAGTTATACTTTATAACTTAAGAGAGAACATGAAATGGCATATTTTATAGATTAATAGAACAATAACAAAAAATCCTTTGCCTAGCGATCTAGTTAGAGAAGTGATTTAGCCAAAATCTCAGGCCTGTACACAGAGCTGAGACCCAGGCCAGACACCTGCATAGAGTTTAGCTCAGAGGGTGTCATTTCTGTATCTTGAATTTCACTAACTGTATTTCAAAGCCACAGTAGAAAGGATATTAGCTCATATTTGGCTTTTGTGTTATCTGTGCCTCTTCCCCTCCCCACTATAGATAACTGAGGTTTTAAGGTACAGTAGTGACATTCTGGTGGATGAAGGAAGAGGCAGTCCCAGAGGGCAATCTGAACTTCTGCTTATTGTATTTATTCTTGCTGTTTTCCTTCCTCCTCATTTGTAATTCAGAGGCTCCTTGCGGAAGAGAGGACAGCAAGGCTTCTTAGATGGATCCAGCAGGCAGAAGATGGGATAGCAAACTCTATGAAAAGGTCTGCTATTTAATCTGTTCTGCTACCTTTAGGCAAATCATTTGATCATGTTGTGTTTTGGGTTTTTCTTGTGCTTGCTAAATGTGATGTGCATGTATATATTTTGTGATTATAGAGTATTTGAAATGTGTAAGTGATTTATTTTTTTAGGCTGGCTGTTCAGGTATAAAACAAAACCTGCTTCTTTGAGATGCCAGGCTTTGTAGCAATCAGTTGGCCCTAAATCCTTCAGACATCAGTAGACATGGACTTGCTTCTAGCTCATCTTCCACATTTGTAGTCCTGGAGCTGCGATCATACACAGGCTTGGTGCATGGCTGGGGCATGCCTTTTTGTTTCGTTTGTCTTCAGAAGTGAAATAGGCCATTTGTACACTCTTGTTGCTTGTGTCTCCTGCCCCCACTTAAAAAAGATAAAGTCTTTGTGACACATCCCAACACAGGAAGGAGAGATGACATAGAAGACAAACAGTTATTTGGGCTTGCTACTATAGTTCCTTTTAAATGTTTTGGGCCAGGACCACTAGAGGTTTGAAGATTTAGTAGTTTTGGAAGAATGCAGTGAGAGAATACAAAGTATCCCATCTTGCACTTTTTTTTTGTTGTTGTTGTTATGTCCTTTGTCACATTAGGCCATAAAATACTTCTGTTAGGGAAAGATGCCAAGCTAATAGCACCTAATAAAATTGTGGGGAAGGAATGATTTTGTTTCTTTTTTCTTCTTTTTGCTGTATTGGGGCTTGAACTCAAGGCGTACACCGGAAGTCACTCTACCAGCTCCCTCCTCCACCTTATTTGTGATGGGTTATTTTGAGATAGGGTCTCACGCACTATTTGCCTGGGCTGGCTTTGAACCTCAATCCTCCTGATCTCTGCCTTCTTAGTAGCTGGGATTGCAGAAGTGAGCCACCGGTGCTCAGCTTGATTTTGTTTTCTTATCTGCCGGGCCACAATCCCACTATTTCATAAATGAAAGTCTCTGAAGAATAATATGAAATTAACCAAAAGATTAATTTCTTTAGTTTTGAACATAATTTCTGGTGCAGTCAAATGCAAAGCAACAAGCCCAGGAAGGCGTTACTAGGGGACCTAGGAAATGCGTGCCTCCTTAGTTGTAGCTCGGGAAGCAGCAGGAAGACGTTCAGACACAGGAACACATCGTAACCCTTCAGTTTTGAAACGTTGCTAGGTCTTCCCCTGCTAAAAACGATCAAAGGGACATCTGGGTAAAGCTCGCACCGCTGATTTGACTTTTAAGAGTGCCGGGTCCAATTTCCTCAGTTAGCTCAAAAACAAGGCAGCTAGGAGCTCCAACTGTGGTGTGCATCATTGATCACTTGTAGGTACCCCAGTTACAACACAGCCTTCACTAGGCCTCTTGGAAACACGCGGGCGGGGCGGCCACTTGTCAGGTTGGGGACGCCAGGAGGCCGAGATTGGCGGGATCTTTTCCCCTACGTCCTCTGCTTTGCAGCTCTTGCCAAAAGACTGGGTCCTGGCTTGTTGGCCTTAAGTGTTACCTGGAAGCGAGGTAGCAACAAGAGCTGGCAGTGGTCGCTTCTGGGAAGGAACAGGGTCTGAGTGGACGCAGGAAAGGGATGAGACAACCCCAACCCCACCACAGCCACCGGTCACAGTCCCGCCAGGGAGTGGGCTGCGGGGCCCAGAGACAACAACGACAATGGCGCGGAGAAACAGAAGTCTTGCAGGCCCCACCATCGCGAGGCGCGGGGCTTCAGTAAATGCCTTTGCAAGTGATCTTACAGGTCGAAGCACCTTCAGATCGCTTCCGCCATTTCGTACAGGGGCGGCGGACTCTGGCCGCGGGGCCGCGCGCCGGGCGAACGCGCGCCCCCTTTGTCCCGCCTTCTTGCCAGCCCGCTGATTGGACGGAGGGAGCGCGCCCGGAGAGAACGTGTCCCCCTTTGCTCGAACGTGCTCCGGGTGGAAACCGCCGCCGGTGGCGGCGTCGTTCCGCTGGCGGAAAGGAAGGGGGAAGCAGAAGGCTGCGCGCCGGCCGCTCCTCCCCACCCCCCCGCCTCGGCCCTGAACGGGCTGGATGGGCAAGTCGGGCGCGATGGCTCGAGCCCGGGCGGCGGCGACGGTGGCCGGAGGCGGTGGCGCCTCTTCCTCCTCGCCCCGGCGTCGGCGGTGATCCAAGCGAGCGGCCGCGGCCCCCGATGAGACTGCTGGCGGGCTGGCTGTGCCTGAGCCTGGCGTCCGTGTGGCTGGCGCGGAGGATGTGGACGCTGCGGAGCCCGCTCACCCGCTCCCTGTACGTGAACATGACGAGTGGCCCCGGCGGGCCGGCGGCGGCCGCGGGCGGCAGGAAGGAGACCCACCAGGTACGGGCCGGGCCCGGCGGGGCGGGGGCGTGGCGGCCGGCCTTCCCGCGCTCGGCCCGGCTATTGTGCGGGGCGGTGGCCCCCGGTGTCTCAGATACTTTTCTCCGCGACCCCGGGCGCCTGGCCCCGGCCCCGCAGCGCCTTTTGTTCGGCGGTGCGGGCGGAGGACGGCCTCTCCTTCCCTCTCTCCGGGCCCGGGCGTGGGCGCCCCGGAGCCCCGCATTGTTCCCAGGCCCGGGCGGCGACTGCAGACGTTCAGAGTCCGCCGCAGGCCACCGGGCTGGAGCAACTTTGGGGCCGGGGCCACCCGTCTGCCACCAGGGCCCAAGTGGAGGAGACTCGCACCCCGACAGCCTCCCTGACCACCTAGAAACGACACGAAAAGTCTTCCCTTCTTTTTGTCCGTGTACAAAGGGTCATAAAGACATGGAACCGTGCAGGGTGACCCGTGGCAGTGACATTTCCCCATAGCGCTTGAAAAACGTATTTGACAGATCCCCGCTCCCCAGCCTGCGGGAGACGTGGCCTTAAACTTGGCCTTCGTTAGCAGACCGGAAGGATCGAGACGGGGAGGAGGAGGATGCAAGCTTTGACAGGAGGGTTTTTAGAAAGAACTGGACCGGAGGGACGACTTTTAGGAGTTGCAGTTGTGGGTGGCACGGGTTAGGTGGTCTTTTCATTAGCTCAGTTTTGTGCCACTGAAGGGAGTGTGTAAAGGTCAGTTGAAGAATTAAGAGCGACACAGTTCACATCTGACCATAAGGTAGGGTGTGGTTATTGAAGAGGCGTTTGAACCCAGCACTTTTGTGCATTTCGCTTTTCCAGAGGGCAGAAATGAATTATTCCTCGTGTCATCTGTGTCTCATCATTTCCTTGTGTTTCTCATTTTCCTATGTTACTTCTCTTAGTATGCCAGGTGTCCAGAGAATTTACACCCAGGTTGGCTTCATGTGTTTTTTTCCAAAGGTAAAGAATTATCTAAGAGAGAGGTAAAGCAATTCATTTATAAAAGTAACATTTAGTTTTTATTTAGTAGCTACTTATAGTGGCCTTTTTCTATTATTTATTTTTGTGGTAATGGGTATGGATCCCAGGTCCTCGGAGGCTGTGCCCTATACCACTGATCTATACCCCCAGACCCCCCCTTTAAAATTTTAATTAAATTATTATTATTATTATTTTTTATGCTGTTAGGATAGAACCCAGGGCTTTGTATATGCTAGGCAAGGACTCTACCACTTGAGTCACACCCCCAGCCTTAATTTTCAGTTGAATCCTAAATTTGCATAATTTTTTTGAAAAACTACAGTGGTTGCAATGTGTTAAGTGTTCATTTCTCTGATATTGTGAGGAGTGTAGATAAACTTAGTATGCAGTCTGAAATTGTGAAATGTTTAATGTCATCAAAACAACACAAAAGTACTATACTCGTAACTACACAGTTATTAGAATGTCACATTCATTCGGAACATGAATAATGGTGTAGAACAAAGAATTAGAAATGTCATTCTTACCAAGCAGTTGATAGAAATAAGGTCCTGTGTAGGAAAAATGAGGCTTATTTCTTTGACGTGGAATGGTGGTGGAGTCTCTTAGTTGTTGCTGTTTATGACAACACTTGTGATACTACAGCAACTTGGTATGTTTTCATTGCTCATAAAAATTGTACTTATTTTAAAACTTGAAAACTGTTTAGTGTGACTTTTTAATGATGCCTAGGAGGATTGATAGCTGTAGACATAGCCTCAGTAGCTATGTCTACTGAGTACTTTCTGATTGTACTTTTTAAAGCTGAATCCGCTAGGCTCTAACAAAAACTAATACTGATTTCAGATACCCCATTTACTTTGTTATGCTTCTCAGCTACGAGAGGGAGAGAGAGAGAGAGAGCGAGAGGGAGAGAGAGAGAGAGAGAAAGGGAGAGAGAGGGAAAGAGGGAGAGAGAACCAGTTGCATTAGCAGTTTGGCAGATAATTATACCAGGGTGAAGACTAATCTGGTGCTTTCAGAGTATTTAGGGAGGATCAACTCATCCTTAGAATAATGAGTCCAGACATTATTTTTTTCATTGTTGTTGTCAATGTTTTGAGACAGGGTCTCATTATATAGCTCAGGGGGCCTTATCTCATGGTCCTCCTGCCTCAGCCTCCCCAGTGCTGGGATTACAGACAAGTTTCACCACCAGACAGAGATTATTTTGAGATAGAATTTTCATGTTATGAATACAGGCTAAAATGAACAAAAGTAAAGTGTGCATAGACACCATGGGAGCTGAAGTGAAGCAGGAGATGGTCTTTCTCCATCTGGGCTGAGTTGATGATGTGTTATTCCTTTTATATTCCAGGATTCTGGGTTTGCCACATAACTCTGTTGTTTGTGAAGTAACTTTAATGGTTTTCCTCCTTCAAATTAATAGTTTTATACAAAGTCTTCTGGTGTTCATTTGGGTGTGTGGGTTCCATAACCAGCCACATCTGGTTCTTTTGGAGTTGCATGAAAGTAGGGTTATGGATTTGATTGAACCATACTTAGCACAAGTTTTCCTTCTGGTTGTTGTATTGAGGAATTATGATGAAGGATTCTTTGGTTAAGAGAAAGATCTTGGGTAATATTTATTCATTAGAAATTGCTATTTAGTTAGGATAGCCTGGAGATGCAAGACTTCTTTGGGATGAGCTATAAAGCTGTATAGCAGTGCCTTTTTAATAACTTGGTACAGTGTGCTAGCTTCAAAACTGGGATTATGTTTCTCTGGGCAAGGAAGAAGCAAGGGCTTCTCTTTAAGAAGGGACATGGCTCACAGGCCACGTTGGCCTTACTGTGAAGTAAGAATAGTTTTATGTTTTTAAAATGGCTACCAAGAAAAAAATCCTGTTTTGTAATATGTTTGAATTTCATATATGAAGTTAAAATTTCAGTATGTGCAAATAAAGTTTTGTTGAAACGAAGCCACCACATTTGTTCACCTGTGGTCTGTCTGTGAGTATTTCCAGCTATGGCATTAGGGCTGAGTAGTTGCTATGCCATGGCCCTCAGGCTGTAATATTCACTCTGGCCCATTACAGGTAAAAAAGAGTTTTTTCCAAGAGAAAAACCTCAGTGTCCTTAATCAGCACATATTCTCAAATATAGGAGCAGGGTGGGTAGATGGACATATTGGGGAGAAAAAGAGCCAGGCAGGGAGAAATTAGTAGATGTCATTTCATTGTCCATATACTCACAACTTAAAAAGAAAACAACAAACTTTGGATATAGTTTCTTGGATGCATTATACCTGGTGTTAGAGTTAAAGCAACCATTATGGAGCTATTGAAACTTGAAAGGACCCTTAAGGCCACTAACTAGATTCTTGGTAATAACAGTCATTCACAGCTTCTCAATTGATGGACTGAAAATTGTTGTAAAACTTGCTGAAATCAAGCCATGGCAATTTCTCCAGGTGACACACTCCAAGATCGTTGTTATTATTTTTTGGTAAATATAACATTGAGTGTCTAGAATTATTTAGATATAATTTAAAACTGCAAGTTATGTGTATATTTGTGACGTATTTTTTTCACATTCTTATATAAGGTCAGTCTTGTGCTATGGCACACTTGGCAATAGATTCATGATAGAGTTGAAATCTTCATTATTTTTTGAAAATGAAATAAATACTGAGATGTCAGAGCCATCTGACACCATCTTCAAATGGTGTGCTCCAGGACAGATAGGGTTTCCTGTTTGTTTATCCCTCGCTTGCCTGATAGAAGCTAGCTGAAGTCTGCATGAGTTAACCATGCTACAGGGCATCAGCCAGCTGTCCAGATGACCCTGATGGTGTCCTGGATTGGTGTCTTTGCACTGCCTTCAGAGTCTGGAGGCCTTTGCAGCTGAATACTAAAGAGACTGGGGAAGGTTTCTCTCCTCTGTCATGCCCTGTGTTGAACCCCTAAACAAGCGTGTGCTTCAGTTTCACAGAACACAAGGACCTCTTTCTACTGCAGAATGTACTGGAGGTCTTTATGCTCCCCCTTTGAAGGTGCTCTAGAAGACCCTAGGAACTTCGAGTAAAATGGCTCTGTTTGTCTTAACCCTCTGAAGCTTTGTTAAAATTAAGGGGCTGGTAGCATGATTCAAATGGGAAAGCACCTGTCTAGCAAGGATGAGGCCAAGTTCAAACCCCATTACCACCATAAAAAAAAAATCTTTCTGGCTGGGTGTGGTAGCACAAGCCTGTAATTCTAACTACTTGGGAGACAAAGATCAAGAGGATCTTTGTGGTTTGAGGCCAGACTGGGCAAGTAGTTCACAAGACCCCATCTCAACTGATGGTTGGGTGTAGTGGTATGTGCCTGTTAACTATATAGGGAAGCACAAATACAAGAATTGAAGTTCAGGTCAGCCCAGGAATAACTATTAGACCCTATCTCAAAATTAATCAAAGCAAAAAGTGCTGGTGGAGTAGCTCAAGTGGTAGAGCACTTGGCTAGCAAGTGTGAGGCCCTGAATTCAACTTCCAGTACCACGAAAAATGAAACAAAGCTGAGTATTTGAAATGACAATTGCCAGTAGTTTATTAAATCAAAGCTGAGGCAACTTAATGTAATCTGTATAAATCATTTCTCTCCATGGATGTGAGAACACCTGTCAGTGTATGCACTGAAATTTCCCATTAAGAAGTTACTAGATTGTGTTTATATCCATTGTAGCAAATGATGAATGACTTGAAAGTTTACTCTGTGCCGTGCTTCCATGCAAGAAGGTATCTATGATGAAATGTCTGAACTGATTTGCTTGCACTGCAGAATCTTAAGATGTGACAAGGTCAGTGTCCATGGACTTGTTCTGACCACCTCCTATATAAGAAAATGTTAATGGATCTGGTACACTGAAGCCTTTCTCCTTGTTTTTGGTGGCAGTGCATTGCCTCAGGCCTTTTTGAGAATAACTGGGCGCTCTGACCTATGGTATGGTTCTTTGGCATTTCCTTGAATTGCGCTTCTTTGGCCAGCCAGCCT